AAAAAAAAAAAAAAAAAAAAAGCAATCTTTAAAGTGTCATTGTCTATGGAAAGGATCCATCAGCTCTGAGCTAAGACAATCAGTGCTACATAGATACCCTCCCACCTGGGCACAGCCCTGCACTCACACACACAGGGACAGACAGACAGCCACATGGAGGTGGTGCAGTGGGGGGCAAGAGAGCCCAGGACCAGGAGGCCTGGGTCCTGAGGGCTGGTCCTGGCTCTGCCCCGAGCCCCTGCCCCTCCTAGGCTTGGAGCTATCACCTGTGAAGCAAGGAACTGGCTCAAACCACCCCTAAAGACAGGTCCCTTCCAGCTGTGACATTCATGCACCAGTCGTGACTTCGGAGCTGGACAGGGGTTCTGCATGCACAGCCCTCACACCTCCACACTGAGCGTGATTACACACGAAGCTCTGCTCATGCATTTTCAGACTTCATTTCCGCCCTGCAAACCACATCCTTTCGCTCTGCTAGGTAGAGATATACAAATCTGTGTCTTTTTCCCACTCCCCATCCAAATTCGTCCTGGAAAAAGGGACCAAGGCTGGGAAAGGAGGGTGAGGTCAGTATAGCCATTCCCCCTGCATTGGGACCCTGAAGCTCTCCAGAACTTTCTTATAAAGCTCCCTCCGAAGAAGGAAATGTACTCTCTCTCTCATGCCCCTCTGTCCCAAACTGAGGGACAACAGCAATCCATACCCAGCCTGGGTCCCTTCTTCAAATCTAACCTACCTGGTGCTGCACCCCAGCCTGGGGAAAGCTGGAAAACAAAAGACTCTTGGAGATGAGAACCCCAGACTCTCGGGTGCTGGGAGGGAGGGGGGAGGTCTTGGTTCCAGTGCACTAAATCATAGGGACCTCTCACTCTCTGCCCCAGCAGCCTTGGAGCGGGTTTACTTTCCTCAGCATCCAGAACAGAAGTTGACTTCAGTTCTTAGAGGGCCGGCCTTGGGCAAGGGTGTGAGTGTGAATGGGCAACTCTTCTAAGAACCTCTGAAGGTTATTTTTCTTTTCAGGGGTTCGGGGGCAGGGAATTAGAGAGCTTAATAGATGAAGATGAATAAAATGCTGAATTCTATCGTTTCTTCCTAATTGATATTTAGCATTAATAAAAAGTGAGTATTTCTGAGGTCATCACAACTGCCTTCCCCCCTCCCCCCAAGCCCTTGCAA